TCTAATACTGTTTTTCCCATTTGATTTTCGTTGAAGACAAGTTTGGATAAAAGCTTTGAAGCTTAAAAAACCTTTTTTCCTGCTTTCAGAATTCAGACAGTAAAGACATGTGGTTTATATCATTTCTCTATTTGTGATATGTTGTACATGCTCTGATACTCTTAAAGTTGCATGATACATTGGAACGAGACTCTTGCTGTGTGAGTGAATAAATGATTATCATGAAAGATGGCTCATCGAATATGTTCCAGAGCCGATAGAAATCGGAACTACCGTCTTTTCGGGTGTGCAATTTGTTGCGGGTAGGATCTAAATTGTACAGAGTGTGAGCTAGGTAGATAGAAGAGAGATTGTGAAGATGAGTCTTATGAAGGCTTGTGATGATGAATCACATGGATTTATGACTGTGGCTAATAATGGAGGAGGAGGAGGATGATGAATGAGAACGGTCAAAGCCTCTGTCTCTGCTTACAGATTCACATGGGGTCCCCCTCGCTATGTCTCTTTCAAGTGGGCTCGACTCTTAATTCTTCTTCAAGATGGTCCACGCTTCTTACGAACCCCTTTTTTGTAATTACTTTGTTCAAAGGAATTAGACTTTCATGTCCCTGAGTTGTTCTTACCAACTAACACGGCTCCATATTTAATTTCTCCTTAAAACCAGACCAGATTGTGCCAAGCTGAGTCAAAGAACTGAGAGTAATAAAGTGTACTTAACTGGTACATAAGAGATTATGACAATTTCTAGAAACACCATCACCATTAATCTAAAAGATCTGATTAAACCACACCTGAATATAAGGAGGAAAAAAGTGGGAAAGAGCAAGGAATCACTTTGCTCTTTCGTGAAAACGAAGCTTGTTTTTTATTTTACCGTTGAGACCTAACTTTGATGTAATAACCTTTAAGCTTTCTCTTCCAATCAACAAAAACTTTCAGAAAGAAAGAACAGAGAAGAAGAATATTCTACAGCAATAGTTTCCTTTTGGCCAAAAAAATAGCAATTATTCGGATGTCCTTAACATAATTAATACAGCAAACATTAAGGTTTTGGAATGGTGGGACAAAGAACCTGACTGATTAAGAATCCCCTGATATCTGCAGAAGTCAGAGAAGATATCAACATTGTTGTCTCATGGCATTTTTCTTGATATGAAAACATGCATCATAGTACAAGAAGACCCAAGCCAAGTTAATTATTCAGTCATGTATTCACATTTTTAACTCGACTTTTTCCCCCAAATCAGTTCAAAGCAAAGATTTGTAGCTGCGGAACCACCGAGACAATCCTAGATGAAACACACAGAATGTTGGAACATGAAGCAGCTTCTGTAGTGTATATATGGGGACTGCATTGCAAGCCATCTTCTCAAGAAAAGACAGGAAAACTAAAAAGAAACAAGTGGAACTCTACAATTACAAACAATCCCTCATGATGTCTTTAACTCTTTGGTTCCAAAATCTATTTTCTCATTAAGTGATCTTCTAACAAGAGACATGTTTAGGATCAACAAGTTGCATGAAGCTCATAGCTACAACAAAACACTTGAATCTCAAGGACACACATACTGCTACCTTTTTGAAGTTGAGAATTGGATAATATTCATCAGCATTATCTTCTTAAGATGTCTGCTTGTCCAAACAAAAGATGTTGCCATTATTACAAATAAAAGATCAAAGCTTTACAGCAAAAGTAGTTAGAAAAAGAAAACAATGTGAGTGTAGTCCAGAAACAAATCCAGCTCTTTCCACCAAAGTTATGATTTAAGAGCACGAAAAGAGAGAAAAAAAACAATACTTATTTCCTTAATCACCCGTAGAGAAACAAGAAGAATGTGGAAGTTTTCAACTTGCTAACCACAACGAAAAAATAATCAGAAAACACTTTACCAA